GAGCGAAAAATAGAACGGAATAAGTTGCTGGGATAATTACATTAAATGGAGCATCTTGGTGCACACTCTCGAAAAGATAAAAAGGGGGACAAAGCCCATTGGATGTCATCAAAATAAAAATTATGTGGACAGATAAAGCTCCAAGAAGTAATATACTCAGTAGAAGCCAACGAGTTATGAAGCTTTGACTGGGTAAATATCCCGGTAAATCTTCATTTTTCACACACTACCTGCATCCACAGAAAACATTAAGTTATAGAAAATAGTGAGATACGCTTTATTTCCCTAACTATTTTATGGACTTCAACTTAACATTTGATTGTTCAACAAACAGTACTTGACAGGTTGCAGAAGTCGCTCTCAAAAGTGATCGGAGTGCACACGTTATTTTATGCAATGACTCCGGTTCACGTTTCTTGAAAATGACATGAAGTGCTGTAGTCAAACAGCAAACTAGTTAAAGGGGCACTGACACCCCAAATGTCGTATTCTTTTTTATTGTCTAAAACGATGCAAATTGTAGTCACAGACACGCAAAAAAAAACACATCGCAAAAAAAAAAAAAAGAAGTTTCCCCCGCGCGCGCGCGCCTTTTTATTTTTGACGTTTATATTTCCCGCGCTCACCTCCTTGCTTCTTTTGATTGGTGACATTAAAAATCAGAAAATTTAGAAGCTTTGTAGACGATATTTCTATAACATTTAATAACGGCAATCGTAAAACATGTTTTTTAACGCAATTGAGAACGCACTACGGCCTTTCTTTTTGAAATACCAAAAACCAGACTTCCGTGTGATGTCGCTTCCTGGATTTGTATCCTCCCTCGGAAAACTTGGCGGCATCGAGCAGAGGATTATCGGCGAGTCGGAGAAGAAACCGGTTTTTTCCCGCGCCGGCACCCTTCTATCCCGCCTGCTCACCTCCTCCTCGCTTCGGGTCGTGGTAGCAACGGCGCTTTGCTTCACAGCGTGGAGCGGAGGTCCGAAAGAAAGTCGAGTCGCAGGAGACCGCAAAATTTGACTCACCGCACTGGCGCGGATCGCGCGGGAACTTCAAATTCGGCATTTGGAAATTGTTTTTTTAGTTCAGAAATACTGAATTCCCAAGTTTCAAATTTTGAGGGTAATATCCCGGCAACATTTTCAATCGTTTCGGATAATAAAATAAAATATGATTTTGAAGTGTCAGTGAACCCTTCATTTACTTGAAAATTATCATCCGGAGAACAAAGTGAAGGACGTTTACAAGTTTCTGTAATGCGAAACTAGAGCGCAGCTCTTGAGCACAAGGAGGGAAGAGTACAGAGAAGAAAGTATGTCCTTATCCTCCTCCATACCCTCCCCTCCTCCTTTCCACCTCCTGCCCTCATCCTCCTTCACTCCTCCTCCCCTCATCCTCCTCTTCTTCCTTTTTCCTCCTCCCATCCCCCTCCTCCTTCCCTCCTTCTCCTACTCCTTATCTCTCCACCTCCTCTGATCCTCCGCTTCCTTCCTCCTTCCCTGCCCCCTCACCTACGGCCGCTGAATTCGTTGATGGGTGACGTGACACTCAAATTCTCTTTATTTCTCTCCGTTTGCAGAGGGGAGACAGAGAGAAAAGTAACTCAGTTGTTGCTTGACGAGCCTCTGCCTCCCCACAGCAGCAAAAGAGGACAGCATGTAAATACACAGAATGTTTTTCTCACCATCACACTTATAGCACAAAAATAAACAACATTAGATGGGGGAGGGGGGAAGGGGAAAAAGTAATCGATTTAGCCAAGTTTACGAATTCCCGGGGCACTCTCCCACAAACATGGAACGTACTTTTTTATGATTTCATTCAAAACTTCTATATTCAACTCAATCAGGCGATTTAAAAAAAACAAGGTACTATATATTTCAACGTCCGATTTCCGTAGTTCGTTCTGGAGTACGGCACTAACCATGCGTCTGCAGACCTAGTTTTATAGGTAACCTCCCTCATCCTAAGGTCGGAAATAGACATGAATACATTTTCTTTTTGGCAAAAATATCTTTTCAATGCAAGAAAAATTTTATAGTAATACTGATTAGGAATCTGTACAATATTCAATTTAATAAATAATGGACTAGTATTACCTATTATACTCAGTATTAAATATAACACCAACCGCTTTTTTTTTGTAGAGTATGTATCAGTTGTATGCTTGTAGTGGTCGCATTTCCCCATACCAAGAAGCAATAATTATATTTTGAGTGAAAGAGAGAATTATATATAAGAAGCATAACCGAAGTCGGGATGATGTGGCAATATTTGAACATAATACCTACAACTCTTGATCATTTTTGACATGTCTGTTGTACAGTTTCCTCCCATGACATGTATTGATTAAATATAATTCCGATAACTTTTACGCTTTCATCTATATCTATACAGTGTGTTTCAAAAGAAAGAATGGACGTATAGACACTATTTGTATTTCGTGATCTAAATAATACGGCGTTTGTCTTACTGCCATTTATTTTTAAGGAATTTGAACTAATCCAGGCATTGAACTTTGCCCAAAAATTATTTGCGGCACTTATAATCTGATCAGTATCATCACCTGAAAAGAATATACTGGTATCATCAGCGTAAATAATGAGACTTACATTTTTATCAATATTTACGGTGTCAATGATGTACAGATTAAAAAGAAGTGGTCCCAGATTGGTCCCTTGCGGAACGCCGGCAGTCTGTTTCCTAAGATCCGATTGTTTTTTTTTTTTATTTATTTCAACACACTGGTACCGATAACTAAGATAACTTCTAATCATATCTAGAGCGACGCCACGAATGCCATAAATATGCAGCTTTTGAAGTAACGTGTCATGATTCATCCGGTCGAACGCCTTTGAAAAATCTATGAATACTCCGAGTGTTAATAACTTTTTCAATATTGTTCAAAATTAATTCCTTTTGTTTTAGCAAGGCAAGTTCGGTAGAGAAACCCCTCCTACATTCGTATTGATATGGCGTTAAAATAGAAAACTTTTCGCAGAAACTATACAGCCTGTGATGTATTATTTTTTCTAGAGCTTTCGAAAATATCGGCAAGACAGAAATCGGTCTAAAACTTTCGAGGTTGTTTTTACCTCCAGCTTTATATAACACAGATACCTTTGCTACCTGCATTTTTTGGGGGAAAGTTCCGTTCTCAATTGCTATATTAAAAATATGTGTTAAACAAGGAACAATCCACCGCAAAACATGATTGATAGCTTTAATTTGAAAATCATATATATCGGAGTTCTTACTGTTTTTTAAGCTTTGGAAAACAGAAAATACTTCATGTTCGTCAGTTGAAAACAGAAACACTCTGTGAAACCTTCTGGACATATCTAACGGCATCCGCACAGTCTACACTCTGGAAAAGTGTAGCAAAATGACATCACGTAGTCGTGATGTCATTTTTACTGCTAAATTTAGCGGGGAGGCTGAATTGTTTTTGCGGTCACTTGACGTCAATTTTCCCGCTATACACAGCGAAAAATTTCCCCGCTAAATTTAGCGGGAACATTTTCCTGCTAACTTTAACGGAGAAACGTCCCATAATGCATCGCGCGCGGTTAAACCGTCGGCGACGCCGCGCAACCCGGAAACGGGCGCCTAAAGGCGCGTTCCCACCGGCGATGCGATCTAGTCGCGCGAAAACTTTCATCGCAAAAGCAACCGTCACGGGCAAAGAGTGACGCAATTTGAGACCCGAGTTTTTCGCGATGCAGTCTAGTCGCGTAGCGGCTGAGCCAATCAGCGGCGTTCGGAGCGAGAGTTTTCAAGAAGCGACTCGCCAACGAAGGCGTTGGACTCGCTCATCGCGCACGCCGGTGTAACCATCTAATTTTTTTCGATGCAATCTAGTCGCATCGCGCGACTGCTTACATCGTTACAAGCTGCGCTCTAAAACAGATCATTAAAGCTGTATACTTGCATGTCTCTTTCTCGAGGGAAACTATAGTAGGACGGGTGATTTACATGCGAACCGCGGTCCTTGCTATCCAGCCAGTAACGTGTCACACACTCCTTCCCGTTAACACATTTTTCTATAGTCTACTTTGACCTTTTTCATCATTGTTGCGAGAACACCGCATGGGACCCAGAAGCAATATGGCGCCGTCAAGTCTGAAAGTCGAAGGAACGGTGTGTACCCGGCGTGACCGGGCGATGGAGGGATGCCGCTTTTATACAGCGCGTTTGCGCGGACTGCGCATGCGTTGACGGACGCAGACTTACGACCATGCCGCAGAGAGAGGGCATGGTGCTGTGAGCGTGCTATCTAATGCGAATGAGCGGAGTGGAATGAATCCTCCCTAGTAAAACGTACCTGGAACCAAGCGCGCGAGCGTCGTGCTAAACTCAGTGGGGGATGAATTGTAAAAAGAGTAAAAGCGGCGGCCGCGCACTTTCTGTGTCCTATACTGGCCTCTTCGCAGCCGTTACACTGGTTTGCGAACCCGATCAGAGGCCATGTGCTGAACGCAAAAACGTCGAGAACAAATTAGAGGAGGCGGCCGACGAGCGAGAAATTCGCAAGAAATTATTACTTTACCCTAATCTGTAGCATAGGCATGCGCTCATGGATACATTTACCCATTTTCTCCTAAACATTTTCCTGAGGTTCAGAAACCTCACTCAATTAAAATAAGTTTTAAGTTATGTTTGCCATAATACCTTGATCTTGTGGAAAAAAAGAAGGATCTATAACTTCCCAATTTAAAAGAAAATCATTTTAAAGAAGGATGGACAATCCTTCTGAAGAAGACATCAATGGAATGGAGTCATTCGAGTGAACCGAAAACTTCCCCTCTACTCATCCTTATTACGCAATTTAATACTTCCACATTAAGCCCGTATAGTATGAACATTTATTTCTAAAGGAGTTCGCTCAGCTGGAAAGGGTGAAACAAAGTTACAGTATCCTAAATATGACCGCCGTGAAACTCCAACCTCAAACACTAATCTCACTGAACAATAAAAATGGTGCATTGGATCTTTTTTAGGTCGAAGTCTATTTCAGAGATCTTAAATGCCCCGAGATAGAACTCTACCTTGTCGGCTTGGACAATGCGACAGTAAGTACTTTACGATAATCTGATTTAATTGGCAATAACATATATTTTAAAACTTACCTTCTTTGAGTTGTCTAGAGCGCAGCTCTTGGGCTCCCGTTTCCGGCTTGAGCGGCGTCGGCGTCGCCATCAGCATCGGCGTAACCTCGGGGTGCACTATGGGAAATGTCCAATAATGCAACGCGCGGGACTCGTTACATTACACGTGACGTCGCGAGTGACGTCACGAGGGTCCTGCACGTTACATTATGGTAAACGTCCCATGATGCAACGCGCGGGGAGGAGGAGGGAATTAAGGGGAGGGGATGGAAGGCGGGAGGAGGAGTAGGGGGGAGGGGAGGAGGAGGAGGAAGGAGCGAGGAGGAGGAAGGGAGGAGGGGAGGGAGGAGGAGAAGGAGAGGAGGAAGAGATGAGGAGGACATGAGGAGGGGGAGGTAGACAGGAGGAGTAGAGGAGAAGGAGGTACGGATGAAAAGGAGAGGTATACCCTTCCTCACTACCCTCCCCTCCTCCTCCTCCTCCTCAAGAGCTGCGCTTTAATTCGGCGTTACAGAAAGTTGTAGACGTCTTTAATATTTTAATATTTTAAGTGAGAACGTACTATTGCGCACAGTTGAAAAAGTCGTCCATCTGTCTTTTGCGCAGTTGCCACTTTTTGGGAGAGCTGTAGTCGGAACTAGGCATGAAATACAGTGTTGGGAAGTACTTTAACTTCATAGTACATAAAGTACGACTTTACGTAGGTTTATAAACATGTACTTTACTTGAAGTACGTTCTCTGATCATGTACTATACGATACGGAGGAAAGTACAGTTCCCGACTTAAAATGCATTCCTCAAATTTCGTTCGTTAAATTTTTGTAGAAATATTATGCTTTCGAAACGGAAGAAATAGTGGAAGGAATATTCTGTTCTCACCAAAACGATAGCAGACAATGCATCGCTATGTTTATACTGTAGGCGTCTCTCTTGCAGCATGTTGAACACTAGCTACTTCACACTAAATCAGCCTGAGCGAGGAGGTTAAATATATTAAGATTGGATAGTCCTCCACCTGAGGATTGATAACGTAAGCTATGGCGCTGACGTCAGGCTCTCTGTAGTACGTTTAGCCCCCCCCTGGATGCAAGCCGGTGAAAGGGGCGCAAAATTCAGAAATAAAAGGAAGTTCTGAATTTAACGCCATTTTCAAAAATGATTAGTTCATGGCCACTTTACTTAGTATTCACCGCCATTTTCTGAAAGAAAAAAAACAACAAAACGTATACAGCCCCGATTATGTATGCATAATGTCAATGCATACCAGTTTTTTGAAGAATACTCTGCATAGGGGAATGAAAGTGCATCATGAAATAGTGTGTTAAAAAGTGCTTTAAGTTTACTTTGAAAGTGAATTTAATTTATAGTACTTTACTTCAAGTACATTGCGTCCGGTGAACTCAGTACTTTAAGTACATTGCGCCCGGTGAACTTAGTAGGTATATTACGTGAGGTACGAATTCTCTCATTTACTTTGTAACTTACTTCAATTATGTTCTAAATGCACTTTAACCGACAGTGATGAAATCGAAATTTTTTTTATATTGTTCGCGCTACTTAAAAAACCGAGAAACAATAGAGTTTGTGGGAGTCGCAGACGCAGAAAAGATCCGGACCGATTATTTTCGGTCATGTTGTCCGAAGGGTTTCGGTAATTAAATTTATCTGGCCAACTATCATAATAAATTACGATTTATTACTTGCGAAAATCCTAGAAAGTTCTCAACGTAATGTTAGAAGTGCAAGGCAGGCCTACCGGTTAATCTTAAGACCAATAAAACAAGGATAAACGGATAAACCTGCGTCAAAGTCGCAGCCGACGTTTTGGCATGAGACTTGGCTGGTCCAGCAACATGTATTTCAGTCGCACGTAACGTCGTTAAACGGTTTGTATAGTCCAAATCGCCCTATATTGTTATTCCTAGTATAAAAGAAGTAAACATAATTCATTTCCAGAAAAGTTTGACTTAAACTCTCAATAGTCTTGTGCGAATTCCGATTGGGGGTGTCGAATACAGGACAATGTAATTTCGAAGGGCAGTTGGTTTGTTGAGGAGGTAACTCTTGCAAGCACTCGTTCACTTAAAAAAAAAACACTTATAGAAGAATAATTCAAGGGCCCACGTGGGACGCAAACAAAAAAAAAGAGCGTCCCATAAAAAAAAGCATTTTAGTACAATATTTACGCCGTTTGGCGCAATTTAAGCAAAGGTAGCCCTGCTCTAAGCCCGTTCATTAGCCAAAGAAGACACAATAGCCACTCTCCGTTTCAGTGCTCATTGGCTGGAGGGAACGTTGACACTTGGAGTTTTCGTTGTCAATTGTTCATCCGTGCGGTGAAAGTTTTCAATTGAACAAATTTATGTGTTTTACAAACAATCTAAACAGATAGAGTCAGTATTGTTTTCAAAGGCATTACGAGGTCGGCTCTTCCGCTTCGGCTTCAAACGATAAAAAACATGGCTGCCAATATTTGCGGCCAGCAGTTTTGTACATTAAGTAACTTGTTAAGTCTTCCTATTCGTAGCAGCGCTGGTTGTTTCGCAGTCACCGAGATGTTCATATATAGAGATCCACCAGGCGTGGTTGCGGCAGACAGCTGTCGCAAGTACGGGTCTTCGGACGCGTTGTGCAGACGCTTGTTTTTGTAGCGGGATCGACAAAAGCCGAACATCTTATGCTTCTTTCCGCATTTTGATGTTGAGCAAAGGTGTTAACTCCCATAAAATCGGTATCACTACTCTGTGAATGGTACAACCGTCGTGATATGAAAATATTATATCACGGCGATTATGAAAACCATACGAAAACCGTATAGTATTCGTACTGATAGGTAAATTACATAGGTAGGAATTTGTGAGCGCTTTTGATGGAAGCAGTCGGGTGTTCGCCTTGCATAATTTTTGCACAGGTAGAGTTCGCTCCCTTCGCTTCAGAAATGCTGTAACTCTCAAGTTTGGAGCAGGGCATCTGGCTTGCTAGTGCGAATATTTTTAGGTCGCGTTTTAGTAACACGTCGTGACGCTCACCCACCTTGCTCGCGGGCGCCATGTATAAAACAACGAGCACCGAAAAGCTGAAAGAACTGCATATTTATTACGCGGATTTTTTTTTTTTTTTGTCGTCTCGGTCACTCTTTAGCACAGATCGAAATAATCGAACCGACGATTGTATTGGACGGTGGATCTTGCAGGCTGAGACGATAGAATGCCACTTTCATGGTCGCTTCTTGCGAGCGTTAGAGACGATAGTAGACGGGTGATATAGTAGACGGACGCAAGCTATGGCGAACACTGACACACCTCTTTCGTGGGTGCTTCTTGTGGGCGTAGAAGACGGTGATAGACGGTAGTGGAATAACAAACGATACCCGAGGCTGCCGCGCGTCTGCTCGCACGACTAGCCAGCGGTGTCAGACGCCATACTAGACGCACCGGACTTGGTGAAAAGGAGACATTAGGCATGGAAGCGTGTTTGGCTAAGATGCCAAGCCAAACCAGCAGTAGAGGGCGGGGCCACTTTTTTGGGGGTGGGGCTTAGAGGGTGCTTTTATCTCCAACTAAAATATGACTTGTAGGGTAAGTATAAATTAAGCTTTTTAATTTCTTCGTGATTTTTTTTTTGTGTCGCAATTTAGTGCTATCCATGCACTTAAAAATTATGTATTTTGTATTTGAGTGTGCCTTTAAAGATGCTACGCAAACTTAAACATATATACCTAGCTCGACTTTTATTGTTAGAAAATGGATCGGTGCGAGCAATTCTATATTGATAGCTATGAGTTGATTTCACTGCATGTTCGGATATCAGCTACTCCGGTCGCCTATATATTCTCAAGTAGCCGAACTCGCCGGTCCGAGGCCTTTTTAGCAAAATAGACAGAAAAATTAACAATACGATAAGAAAATTTTGTAAAATCATTTTCGACATCCAGATATGCACCCCGCTACACGGTACAAGATCAAGAACTCTGCAGAGTGGGCTAGTGGCGCGCATGCGCATAAAAGGCGTCTTTGCCTCTGAGAGCATAGTGAAGTAAGAAATAGCCTCTGAAAGCACCCCTCGGTTGCGTTCACATTGCGGATCGTGAGTGAAATACTTTGCTGTGTTTTGATGGTCAGAGACAGTGTATTTTGGATATAAATGGCTGGCACGTGCCGTCATCCAATTATGCTGATGACCATCCCTGCCTGTCCTTGCCGCCAAAAACAAATTTGATGGTATGAAATAGATGGACGAGAGGTTCGCACTAAGCTGCGACGCCACTACGAAATCCGAAGATGTTACGTCAGGGTAAGTAATGTATTGGTAAAGCATCCGCCCGTTTGACAAACACGGCGCCATAAAAACAAAATTTCTGCATTCGTTGTCACCTCTAGAAAAAGCGATGCTTAATATTCATGCGCCGCGTGAAGTAGTTCTTATAGCCTCGTCCCACTAGAGCGACAAACACCGGTTTTTGTACGACGACACCACAAAGTTCCGTGTCGCCGATGCTGTCCCACTTCAACGACCGACACCCGCGACAATCGCCGACAAGCGCCGACAAACGATCGACGACGGACGAGTTCTTTTCTGTCGTTGGACTAGAAGCGCAGCAAGCAGTCCCACTGAGGAACATCTCTCGGAGACAAACTTATCTCCCTTGCCCGTTCTGTTGCCTCGCTTCCCACCCTTCTACCCTTCCTCCCGGAACGAGAAGCCCTTGACGGCCACTCCTCGTTCCCGGCCCCGCAGTTCCGGTTCCTCGATTGCATGCAGTGGTCGCGGGTGCGGCTTGCTGGCTGGCGCCGGGTGGTTGTGTTGCGAAAGGGAATTGGCTGTGCCTGGTTTTGCTCACAAAAACTTGGTGCGCGAAGTGGTGCTCCAAGACGCCGAAGTCTACGCCCCTGCATCAGGATGAATATACCCATGTGCGAGGACTGACCAAAGTAAGACCGTTCACCACGAAGTAGGACACGACGTTCCGCGGCAAGCCATTCAGACAAGAGACTTGTCATCACGTTCTGTGATAATCGGGATGCCGTATCGTCCACCAAAGAGCGCCTGTCCTCGATCATTTGAATATGAAGTTATAAACATCCTCAAAATCAGCGTGAAACTCCGTGGCGCTCACGTAGATATGCCCCGAACGGCTCAAAAAAGGAACGATTCGGGTATTTCTATTTCGGAACAAGATTGGTGTCGATTGTCACAACTGTTTACGGAAAGTCGCCAACGGCAAATGAAGAGAAGCGGAAGCAAAATAAAAAAATAAAATAATCGTCTCCACTTTCACTATGTTTGTCGGCGCGTTTTATGCCCAGAGAGCAGAACACGAAAACCGCGTCGCCAGACTCTGTTTGTTTCTGTATTTTGGAGTGTTTTGTTGACAACTCCAGTCCCACTAGGAAACAAGTTTCCTTGCCCCCGTGTTCTGCGTCGTGCCCGCCAGGTGGGACGGCGGACTCCGACAAACAAGCTGTCTGTCGGTGTCGTCTGTCGCTCGTTGTCGTGTGTCGCTGTCGTTTGTCGCTGTCTGTCGCTCTAGTGGGACGCGGCTATTACGGGACTTGGTTGTTGAGCGAAGAATCAATGCTTTTAGCGTTTTTAAAATGTTAATTTTGATAGTAGAACAGAGAGCTAGTTTCATGCATCTTAATTCAACGCAGTAACGTTCCGCCGGGAGCCTGATATTTTGCTAACATTCTTGAGGGGAAAATGATTAAAGGCCCCACTTTTGTTTGTTCCTTAACACTTTATACTGGAAAATAATGTCCTTTTAATCAAATTACAGCATTGCGATCCGCCAATCCGCTCGCATTTTGTCGCTCGTTGGAGCACCGTACATTAGGAATGGCGGCGGTGATTGGCTGACCTTTTTAATGTCAATAAAAAAAACTGACTTCAATTTTTCTGTTAAGCAGGGGAATAACGTGCATAAGAATGTTAATTTTGCTAATCCCATTTCTAAGAAAGAAGAAGAAGAAACATTCGAGGTCACCAAGACATTAAAGCCGAACATCATTCACATGGACGGACCATTCACCCTGGCTTTGTTTCAAGAGTGGGTTGAAAAAAGTGACAAATTCAACGAAAGCGATATTGTAATCCTGCTCACCAAGTATGCCTTACTCGTTGCGCTACATTTGAATTCAAATATCTTCCATGCGATTATTTCTTCAAAACTTTTTTTCGCAGGCGGCGTATTGTTGACTACATTGGGTCCGAACTATTTGGTTTAGCAGAAGGTGAGTATTCAAATTATACGGCAGTTGAACAGGTGTTAAACAACAAAAATAATTTTAGTCGGCTACAACATTTTATTTCACTGCTTAAATACACAAAATCATTAGGACACAGTTACAATTTTTGATAGTATTTTTACTTTGATCGGTACGCAGAGGCCAGATTTAATATCTATCATCAAAAATACGCTGTGCGAAAGAATTCATCATCCAGGTTCCAGTTTGATCGCTGTATTCTTCACGACAATTTTCGATTATGCTAGGTTACACCCTGCATTTCCGGATTTGATGTTCGTAAATATAATATTTTCGAGAGGGCATTTTTTTTTTGTTAGAAAGTAATCAAATAAAAGCAGTTGAATGTATTTTTACAACCGGACTTTCAAAAGGCTCGCATGTCTTCTTACCCACAGAATACGCGTAAAGTAAATATTGTGATCTGCAAGGCGCCTGTGCGATTTGAATTGTAATGAAAGGATTCTTAAACACGCCGTCACATGTACGATGAATCTCCGAAGCGCGGCTATTGAATAACAAAACCCGGCGCCTTGTAGTCGGTATACTTAAAACAGACGACAGCGCATCCGAGGTGGGTGACCTTGAAGTTTCGGAAATAAACGAAGCTATGCACGTTGTACATAAAGAACCAAAATAAAGCAAGACCGTCTGCTGGCGGAACGTTTTCTGTTTTTACCACTGAAAGAGCGCGTGAAGACTGCAGCACTCCCCATCCTGCTGTGGTGCGTTGTACATTTTGATTCCCAAACGAAATCACAGCTGCCACTACAGCACTCCCCAGTTAAAATTATCACACATTACACCGCTAAATCAAGTAAATGTCGATTAATTCTGTGTTAAACGCAGATATTTGTAAATTAAAGCGTAGCCCAATTGAGAAGAAGAACATCATCGAGTGTAGGCGGTTTTGAGACAATTTCTTTTGTAAAGAGAAAAATGTGTTTATTTAGAGACGAAGAGGCAACCGAGTTTTAATAATACTGGCTTGCTACTTTGTGCTGGGGAAAGGGGTAGAAGAATAATAAAATAACGGATATGTAACACATTTTCGAAAAACCCGAGACGGACAAAAAAGGGAAGAAACACAAAACGCCCCAGCCGCCTTCTCTGGTTTTTCAAAGTTGTGTAACATAGACCTGCTCGCCTGTCTACACACTCTACCTTCGACAGATATGTACAAAGAGAAACTTAATATAAAGGTATAAGCTTGCAACTCTACTGCGTATATAGAAGAAAATGAAAGTCAGAATCAAATGAATGCGATAAACGTGTGTTGGAACATATGCTTACGGAGAGGACACTGTGGCACAAAAGAAAATGCGCACAAAAGGCATGTAATTTTTTTGCCTTGTCCTTCTATCTTTAACGTGTCCCGTCTAGACTTGTTGCCGTTCCATATTTAGTGAGGGCATTGGTAGCCACCCCAGCTTCTCGGCAGATTTTCCATGAACCGAGGAGCCACTTAAAGGTATGCTCAACTGAGCTTTGGGACTCGCAAAGCAAGGCTGAAGTGGTAGGCGGGACGCAGCACGTCCCAAAAACATTACTCATATATGTCTAACGGTTGGCCGTATTTTTGTAAAGTAGTACGAGATTAAACACGGCCGACGAGGCCGACGAGACATGTCACGTCACGATTCTCATTCCCTCTCCGCTTCGTCCACTCGAGCATGTGAACCGAAGTGAGGAGGAGGGATGCAAGGCCGCTTCCCCTAATTCGAAGTGTTCCTGGAGGATCGTGACTTTACAGTCCTCACTTGTTCGCGACCTTCTTTTGCAAACATGTGGCCATCCGGTTGAGATATCGATGTTTGAGTGGTGTTTTGGAGATCGTATCGTCCCGTTCAGCGATTCTGCGGCCTTATTTCGTGAAATTCAGATTTCAGTTCAGCATCCTTCTATATGGTCCTGGTTGCCCGGAAAAATTTGCTGCTCGGACCATGCTTCAGCGTTCTTCGTTATGAATTGTGCGCTCACATATTATATGATGTTCGTCTTCCTCCGATGAGCACGTTGAACCACCAGACGTCTCCTGTCGGTGCGCCACAGACCTAAAGAGTGGATGATTCAGGGCACAACACATACTGGGCCGTGCCTAAGAGTTACGTGCATTGGAATCTTCCTGTGCGCTCGCGCGGTAGCGGGCCGTCTATACTTCGTCTCATCCTACGATGGACTAAAGGCCAAAGCCACGGGCCGCAAGGTCTAATCTCGTTGCAAGCTAAAATACGGCACGCTTAGCATTGGTTAGGGGTGGACGAATGATCCTCCGAGTCAAAAAGCACTGCATCATTTTTATAGCTTCGACAGTGCAAAGTGCTTGTATGATATAGCTTTCTTTGCAACGTAAAATTGTTGAGTCACTCAGTGCTATCCAATCTGAACTACCGTCCGCCCTTCCCCATTGGTGATTTGAGACGCGGGCGCCGATACGTGCATCGAAGCGAAATACCACGCAACTTGTAAGTGGCTCGCGATTGGATCTGGCGGTCCGTAGCTTCTGCCTTTAGTCCATCGTAGGGTGAGACGAAGTATAAATCGAGACCACCGGACTGCTTTCCGGAGGCCGTTTTCAATACAAGTTTGCTCGATGAATGTTGGGGGTTATGACTCTTATTACGATGACAAGTTTCAATTACAACTGTGCTTTAAATGTTCAGTGTAATTCCGGTATGCATCGCTTGAAGTGAAATCAACTTTTTTCGAGAGCAATCTGTATTATTTTCAAACAAATCGTGCAAACCCCGTACATTGCACTTTAGAAGTGAAACACATACTGCCAAAGGCAAACCAAAAAAACCTCACCCACTTAGTGGTGGTCCATTATGGAACAACTTCATTTTGGGTGGCATTAACGATTCGTTCTGCATTAACACCAGTCATTACCACAAAAACAAACGTCTCTCGTCGGGCGTCTGTTAGCTAACGCACGAAAATGGCGCGAAAAAATAATTTGTACAATGATATTTATTTTAACCCAAAGTGTTTAGGCATCTGACATGGTATGCTGCTTTTGACAGATGCGAGTGTTTAGGCTCGACAGATATGGTGTTTCTTTTGATCGTGGTTTGTTGGTGTGCGGGCTTCTCCCCGCAGTTCATTTGCACCATGTCACACAGGCCATCAAACGACTGAAACCACATTTAGGAAGCTATCGCTGCCCGAGAATGTCCATTTCGCTCAACGTACCTCGTTATTAATTAATCGTCATGCACAAGCCTGACGAGGACAAGGCTCCTTTTTTCCACCGACACACACGATAATGTTCCGCGGTGCTACAACAAGCCGTTGGCCCCTCGAATAATCGTGTTATTTACCACTGAACTAGATGATTACTCTCTTCCAACTTCGCCGAGAAATACGAGCAGCCGGAGTGCTCGAGTAGGGGCGTTGTTGTTTTTTCCCTCGGGCCGTAGTGAGACCAGCACGTGAATGACTGGAACAAGCAGCAGACAACGAAGTGCTTCAAAAGCGATAAGACGACTGAGACGGCTTTTCTGCGCTCGCAGACAAACTAAGACATCACAAAAAAACAATATCCTATGAAATACGAATATGAGAAGAGAGTCCGATACGATATCTTGGCGTCCCAAACAATGATGCGCGATTATGTGCGCGCACTGCAGCCGTAAGCAGACGAAAAGCCGGTAAGCGGTGACTACATGAAGCTTGCGGAGGGAGCACTTCCCGATTGCGCGCTCTTGCACAGCTGGCTTGATGACATCGGTCTATTCAAAGTCAGAGCGCCTAGCAGCGCTACGAGTGAAAGGACAGCGTTATCTGAAAATCTAAGAGAGTTCTGAAGTAGCGCTGCGATTAAAATTATAGCGCCCGATTTCGACAAGTCGAATAGACATCGGCTTTCCTGAGAGCTCCAAGTAGCTCTAAAACTAGCGTAGAATATACTATAGGTGTGTTCGCACGATTAAGGTTTGTAGCATCAATGACGTTCATACACCCGTGGCAGCTTTTCAGGCTTCAGAGGTTTCCAAACATTGTTTGATTTGGCAGTTAAAGGCATTTCTGAGTAAACTGTATATCCTCCATGCTGCTATTCTTCCTAAGAACCCCAGCAAAAGAGGTACGGTTTCTTGCGTAGTATTTATACATTGACTCCTCAATGTGATGAATTAAGACATATGTGAGTTAAATTTATATGAGCTTACTGCTGTTTAATTAGGACGTACATGTTTCAAATGCCAAAAGAGCTGTGCTTTTCTACGACAACCAAATCTTGAAAAAACTACTTTGTGCTGAGCATGCATAATGCGCGAGACTTGCTTTTTTTATGTGACAACAAGTATAGTTGTGTAAACATGATAAATATTAAAGAAACTTTACACTTAAACATCTTTGTAAAACCACTTCTTTTAAGTCCACCATAAGTGGCTAACTGTGCAATATAAGCGTTGCTTATACAATCGCCTCCAGTGGACCTGAGTATTAAAATGAGAGCTAGGGATGTGTCTAATGTTAAACCTCTGGCAGGTGTTTCATACCTGGATGGAATCTGCTCTCCTCTCAGTGTTGGTCTGGTGTATGACACCGGTCGCGATTTTTGGGGAATAAGATCGCTAATTCAGCAGATCGCACACCTGTAAGTACCTAACAACTGTGCCTCTTCTGAAACTACCTGACTAGTCTTCAATTTTATACAGCTGCCGCGAGACATTTTTTTTAGTAAGCACTTTAGTTGAAAACCAAAGCCGTATTATCTAAGACGTAGAGACCCAGGTTGACATAACAGTAAAGCGGTGCCAATTAATTACATCTCTTTTAACGCTGCTCTCAACACAGTTTTAACCATATTCGTTTTATAACTACTCTTGCGGAACAATATTAACAATATCATCACAAGAAAGTTAAATGATATAGTTAAACGTGCACCCAAGTGAACTGTGAGATCGCTTATATATACTGATAGCTCCATCTACGTAATCTAAGCCTAAAAAACAGATAGTGCACTCATGGGTGAAACTGCAATCAAAGATCGCGACACGCCTGTCTTTCTGCGCCTTGGAATATACACCAGGTGGCGCCGTTGGACGATATTTTCAAACAATTCTTGCATTACTTCTAGTAAACCCAAGAACTTAAAGTTATTTAAATGTAATGAAGAACGCGGCTAAAAAGAGCAATAAGAGTAACGTTCGGAATCTCCACGCAATAAACTGTTTTCATTGGTTAAATTTATCTGGGTGGTGGGGATCCGAGGGCAACCCCATTATCTAGAATTTCTCCATGACAATATAGTGCGCGAGCTTGTCCATTGCCGTGAGTTTACTAGGAAGGCTTGCCCTCTGTAACTGGCCATTTAAATTGATTACAGCCTAACAAACAGCATGCCATGAAAAACAAGCTTGTGCGCAAAGCAATTAAGTGCCGTTTTAACATCTATCTAAATTATGTTTTCATCGCCTTTATGTCTACCCGGTTGCTATGCATACTACACAATTTCTAAAGAATATACTACGCAGAAAAATAAATGTTTTCCGGGTAGAGAATAAAAAGGGTATATGCATAAGACATGCATTGTATCTCTCAATGCACTAAAGAATTGAGGAACTAGCTAGGGATGTCGTGAACGTTTCCAGGTTCGGGTTCGAAAAGTTTCGACAATTTGAAATATTTAACTCGAAGGTCGACAGAAGTTGGACTGAAATAGGACAATTATGCTCACACACGAAAATTTACATCCTACTGACGCCGCCCTTCGGATGACAATGTAACATCGAGAAATCGATACGATTGTTTATGTTTTGTTTATGATATGTAAACATTAGTCATTCGTTTTTAAAATTTGAAAGGAACTATAGTGTCTATAATATCTCACAAAATTTTAAATATTTACATAGACTTCGGGTATCCCTGTTTAAAAGGCCGGACTTTCTCGAATATTGCCAAAAGCTCGAATGTTAAAGAAGAGTTCGCTTTACCCTTGGACTAAAACCCACTTTTCATCGAGCTGCACGATCATCAACAATCTCGACGTCGGCATATGGGTGTCATTTCAGGGGCCATGGTTTTATCTATCCCATCCCGCGTGGTGACGAACCCAACGCCTTGAGCAGCGCGGAAGAAGAGAGAGCTGTTGGAACAAAGCCAGAAATGGGGTCCTAATTCCATTCGCGCTTCGCGCATCTCCCGGCGGGGAACTCTCAAGTTAGGGCATGGCGCGCATGCGCGCTCGTGCGCTTCACGACCTTAAACGCGCGCGCGAATGAGGATGATTCCTTGACCTACAGTCGTGCTGCGCCATCTATCAACGTTTGTCAGAATTGAAAGCGCACCCTCGATACGCCCGTTTCATGTTGAGGCGGTGCCGATCAGACAGCCCTTCTTTTTCACCCGTACTCTGAACTCCGTTGATTTGTCTGTGTGGCAGGAACTACACTCTCACCGGACCAAAACTCTGCCCCTCTTTCCTCACCTGACCCCGCCCTCTGCCCCACAGTACGGGCGAGAGCGCGATAACGTGGGAAAAGATTGACAGATGGCCGGTCTATCGAGCACGTAGCCTCCGCCACTCCGTCAGTTTAGGAGCGAATGATGTTTACGGTACGTGACCGGTAATTTCCCTACTAACCTCAAAGGGGGTTTTTCACCCCCCCCCCCCCTTCCCCTCCCCCCCTTCTTGCTGAGGACACCCCATTAAATATTATATGGTCAATTGCGGGGCAATTATGTTGCATAGTTGAAACGTTCCAGCGTCACCTGACGACAGGTCACGTGACGTCAATTTTCCCCACTAATTTTAGGGGAGAAACTGAATTGGTGTGTAGGTCACGAGACGTTAACGTTTCCGATAAACTTACCAAGGAAGTTGATGTGACGTGACTTGATGTCCCGTAACCTATATAGCAATTCAAGTTCTCGCGCTAAATCTAGCACAGAAGCTGAATTGGTGTGTAAGGGACGGCACAGATCTATACGACACTTCAGCGTCCCCGATACATTTAGCGAATACTGTGAAGTGGTGTGCAGGTGTACGAAATCCTAGGATAAAACACTGCATGGATTGCATTGTTGGATGCCACAGGCCACGGTTTCAAGAAGTGCGTCTTCACGAAATCCAGAGCAACTAGTCAAAGAATATTTCAGGTTAGGGGGGTCACGAAAGAATATAGGGTTCGAATGTTCATGGCTTAGCAGAGGCGTACTGGTCTTAGTCTGGCCCAACTATACTCGCACAGACTGCCACTGATTCAGAATCTTGTTTGTCGCAGTGAAATTGCGAGGATAAGAGGGAACTATTTATTTCAGTCTTGCGTTCGTAAAGCTTTATCCACTTAATGGGGGATCAAAACAACCCGTCTGACGACAATAGAGCGCAGCTCGTGTATTGGGCACGAGAACTGAATGAACCCTCATTGTGGCGCTCGAGAGACACAGCTCCTTCTGTGTCTCTCGAGTGACACAGCTCCTTCTGTGTCGCTCGAGTGTCGCTCGAGAGACACAGCTCCTTCTGGAGCTGTGTTTCTCGAGCATATAGTTCTCGTTCAATGGACGCTTCTACAAGCAAACGAGTGGAACTGCCATGGGAGCTGCGATCTCCATTACCATTGCCAACCTCACGGCAGAGTACATCGAACAAAAAGCTCTTTCTTGCTTTAATCCAAAGCCCAAGACCTTCCTCCGGTATGTGGATGATAGTTTCTGCATTGTCGAAGCCAATGAGGTTGAGCGTCTGTGCCAGAGTTTAAACTCCGTTGAAGTGTCGATTCAGTTCACGGTTGAGTGAGAGACGGACGGCGTGCTCCCGTTCTGGATGTGAGCGTCAAGAGAGCTTCTGACGCGCTCAACTTCGCGGTATACCGAAAACCTACGCACACGGGTAGATACCTGGACTTCGAATCGTATCACCCCACATCGCACAAGGCCTCTGTGGTCAGCGCCCTTTTCCGACGGGCGCTGTCCGTGTGTTTTACGGAGGAGGCCCTACGAAAAGAATTGTTAACACGATGAAAGCTGATCTAATTAACAATGGTTACCCAAAGCGGTTCATTAACGACATCTACAAACGCCTACGCCGCCCCCTTGTAACTCCGACCTCGAGACCGTCTAATCGGATCTGTCTCTCTTATGTGAAGAATGTGAGTGAGACCGTCGGACGCGTCCTTCGGAAACACGGCATTGCCGTCTCCCACAAGCCCGTGTCTACCATCCGTCGGCGGCTTCCTCTCCCCAAAGACAGACCAGGAAGGGAAAGGGCTCAAGGTCTCGTGTACCGTGTGCCTTGCGCGGATTGCCCGGTCACTTATGTGGGGGAAACGAAAAACTTCCCGGATCGTATTCGACGACACAAAAACGATGTGAGAAGGAAAGACACTGAGGCCAGCGCCCTGGCAGAGCACGAGCGAAAAACGGGGCACTCTTTCTCCCTCGACGAGACCCAGATCGTGGCCACCGAGGGAAATTGGAGGAAACGCCTTCATCTAGAGTCCTGGTTTATCCAAACAACGAGCAAGAACGTGAACCGGTTCAAGGGCACTCTCCCGAGGGCGTACGTGTCTGGACTTCGCGCCCTCTGGGGTAAGCCTTAGCCAGGCCAAACGCCCGGGCAACCTTCCACACCGCGCCCCCCTCCCCCGCGCCCTCTGGGTTAAGCCTTAGCAAGGCCAACCGCCTGGGCAACCTTTCCCCACCGCGCCCCCCCCCCTACAGTCACCCGTGACCAAGGGACCGAGCGGGTCCCGAAACGTCGGGTTTATGTGTTTTTAATAAAACTTTTGTTAGAGTCCGCAAAAACTATATTAAAACCACACCAAAAACCCCTAAGGCCAACTATCTTTAGACTATATTAAATCTTATGGAGGTAAAATAAAATTGTAAATTTCGTTCACCTTTAGCGTTAGGGAAGAAGTGGGAGGTCGGATGTGCGTCAGACAAACGGGTTCTCAAACGTTCCCAAACAGGTTTCGAAATGCTCAAGTTCCCAAACGCACAACCTCTATACTCGATTTCACTGGTTGCGTGCAGTACAGGCGACGACAACACCAGGCGAAGATGGAAAGAGCAAACACTAGGAAGGCTGGTAAAGACGAGAGAACCCTCTTCTCAATGACACCGTTGCTAGCGCTCTTCCATTTCTCCCCTCGCCCTCCATCATCCTCCACTCCCGTCCCTCCTTTCCAGTGCTCGCCCTCTCTCTATTCTCCTGGCCGTTGCCTTCGCCTGCACTACACAACTACATTAATGTTGGTTGCTAGCAACATTAGTAGAGAGGATCAGTTTGGAAACACGAGCGGCATTCACCGGAAGAGTGCGGGCAGCTGCGGTAGAGGACGAAACAATGGCGCTGACGTCGCGAGATCGGTTCTCCCTGCGACGTCCGCTACGAATCCTTCAATAGCGTGCATTTGTTTCGGGATAATCAACTGATCTCGAACTGTAAATCTTCCTATTATTATAAATCGCTGATTCAAGACAGCTGTTTGGGATTGTGATACTATAAACCCCTTAGTGTTTGCGAGCCCTCGATTTTCGCGGATTTTGAGAATAAAAGAAACTCGCAAAATTTAAGGGCCTGTGAAAATTTCTACCCTAAAGAGTTTCAATGCAGGCGTCTGGAATTCGCGAAATTTAATGGCCGCGATT